CGCACTCAGACCTGGGCGACGCAGACGTCCACCAGCGAGGCGGACCGCCCGCCCAGAAGACTAGGATCCAACTACGAGCGTTTTTAACTGCAACAGCTTTAATATACGCTATTGGAGCTGGAATTACCGCGGCTGCTGGCACCAGACTTGCCCTCCAATAGATCCTCGTTGAAGGATTTAAATTGCACTCATTCCAATTACGGGGCCTCGAAAGACGCCCGTATTGTTATTATTCGTCACTACCTCCCTGTGTCAGGAGTGGGTAATTTGCGTGCCTGCTGCCTTCCTTGGATGTGGTGGCCGTTTCTCAGGCTCCCTCTCCGGAATCAAACCCTGATTCCCCGTTACCCGTTGTCAGCATGGTAGTCCTTCTCGACTACCATCGACTCTGATAGGGCAGACATTCGAAAGAATTGTCGCCAGCGCAAAGGCCGTGCGATCCGCATGGTTATCCAGAGTCACCTCAACAGCCCCGGGTTTGACGCCGGGGTGCGTTCGGTCCAATAACTGCGCTCGTCCCTTGCGGTCGGAGCTTCGGTGCATGTATTAGCTCTAGAATTGCCAGGGTTATCCACTTGGGATGTACGTTCTAAGGAACCATAACTGATCTAATGAGCCATCCGCAGTTTTTCCATGCTAGGGATTGTACTGACACGTGCATGGCTTAATCTTTGAGTCAAGCATATGACTACTGGCAGGATCAACCAGAATGCCATCGAAGCGCCGCGTCGACACCCGCGTGCTCGAATAAAAGTAACCGACATTTCCGCCTTTTGCCCTGGCGGAAGACTCTCCGTAGAAAGAAAGAGAGGGAGGCAACCTCGGCGTCGCCCCGTGCCTTGTCTTTTGGATGAAAGTGTGTCGTGTTTATAGAGTGTGTGCGGTTCCCTCTCGAGAAGGATCGGGTGCCGCGTATCCGAGACCACTCTTTCGCCTTGTCCGTTCTCTCGCTCGCCCAGGACCTTTCGGCCCCGTCTCTCGTGAGACGGTGGGGGGCAGGCCGCCGTAAAGCAGACCACGCCAATGTCAAGTGACCGACAGA